GTGAGTATGAACACAAGCAAAGCCTAACAAATTACCTGTTTCCCAAGGTAGAAGTTTTTTTGCAGTCAGGGTAAACTCAGCCTTTTCAGATGCCAATCTCCAGGAGATTGGTGCCAGCCCCAAAATAAACATTTGGCCTTCCCCGTTCTCCTGGCAGTAAGGCCTGAAATCTCGTAGTCCTCTCGGGCCACCACTCTCAGTCCCACAGGCTTTCTCCTTAGCCCAGACCCTTCTCACCTTTCACCCACACTGGTCCCTCAGTTTCAGTCCCAGCTTCTCCTTGCCAGTTCTTACCACAACCTGATAGATGAGTTTTATTCTCCTGTGTGCCTCTCCCCCTAAAAACCTTCACTAGTTTCCCCTTGGTTGACAAAGTTCTTGCTCCTTAGACTTCCTAGATCTGACCCCTCTCGGTAGCTTTTATTTCAAAAGGTGTCGGCAGCTTTAGGGATCTTTCTGGAACAAGACAATGTAGAAAACATTTTGTCTTTTCATCTGGCTTTGTAACAGGTGTTTATGGGTTTAGCCCCTTTGTAGGCTGAAAGAGACTATTTGAGGCTCTCTTCCTCTTCCGTGCTGAGTAAAAAGTTGAGTGACTAAATTTCAACTGAAAGGGAACTCTAGGCGTTCCCTATGCTCTTCCTTCCTCTAGCATGGCAGAGGTTTCTGCCAAAGCCTCTGTGGGGACTTGCAGTAAATTCCCCTTCCTTCTTTCCTCTTTCCTCTTTCCTGGGGAAACCTGCCCTGGAGCCCAGCCCATCTCCGAGGGCAGTGTCCTGAAGAAGAGCCAGGCTTGGGAGGGGGCTCATTTGTCATCTGAATCAGTGAATTGAACCTGTTGATCCCCAAGAGTTTTTTCACACATACTCTGACTCTTCATGTTGAGAGATTATTTTATGGTTTCTTTATTGATGAGGATAGGGATTGCTTGGAAATATTAAACTTCCTTTGTGCATTTAAATTGTAATATTTAGCATTTACAGTTGACCCTTGAACACAGGTTTTTGAACTGCATGGGCCCACTTATATGTGGATTTTCCCCCCCAATGAATGCCTGTACTGTTTCAACCCACAGATGCAGAGGGTCGACTGTATGCATTGATCTACGCCATTTTATATAAGATACTTGAGCAGCTATGGATTTATCTGTGGGCAGGGTGGGGGTGGAGTCCTAGAACCAATCCCCTGTGGATACCAGAGACGACTTAGTTTGGGGCGAGTCAGAAGTCATATGTGGATTTTCTCCTGCACAGGGGTTGGTGCCCCCAATCCCTGCATTGTTTAAGAGTCAACTGTATTTAGCAGTTGCTGTATGCTGGACACTACTATGCTCTGTTCAGTTAACTGTCACAGAGGCCCTCTGAGGTAAGGGATAGGACATTGAAGTTGCAAGGGGCAGAGTATGCAGAGACTCCGACCCAAGTGCCTCACATAGCGAAGTGTGTGCTCTTAGGGACTTGAAAGTGGAGGCACAGAGAGAATCTCAGGTTAGTTAGTGGTCAGCTACCGCACTTTACTGGGAAGCTCCCCTCTCTGCCCACCTACATCTCCCCACCCACCCCGTTGTTTCCTGTCATCCTGCATTAGCTGCAGTAGTTAACTCCTCTCTTCCCACCACTCTCAATAATATTAAGTAAAAATTGTGAGTTGGCCGGGCAGATACAGGATCCTGGAAAGTCTGCTTCCCCTCCCTCCGCCCCCCAGTGGAGATTTTGGTGAGTTACACATAATATACAGATGCATTTGGGGATTTAGGAAGCCCTTGGACCCCCTGGAAGTAGAGTCAGTGCTGACTATGGGCCTATGTGACAGAAAGCAGCTTTTCTCCTTTTCCAGATTCCCATTAGCTCCTAACTTGCCTTAGTCAAGGAAGAAGACACTCTGACAGCCTCTGTCTGCCATTTTCCTCCCCATGTAGAATGGAGTTCCTGTGTAAGGCCTTCCTCACCCCACTTCTTCCTCCTTCTCTACCTGAGAACTTCTCCCTACCATCAGTAACCCTCTTTACCAGGAAATACCAGGGAAATACCTAAGATTACACCAAGAAGGTTTTGGATCCATTCTGCCACCAGTGGACACCCTGAGATTTCTGGTGAGCTGAAGGAGCACTAGACAAAGGGAGTTGAGACTTCTAGCTCCCATTCTGGCTCTTCCTGGGGAAGCCCTTTCCCCTTTGGGGGCCTTGGTTCCCTGTCTGCAAATAGAGGGCATTAGGACTTAGAACTTATGGTCCTTTTTGCTGCTGTAACATTTTACAACTCTTTCTTAGGCAGGTGCAAGGTGGTGACTTTAGTGTTTCCTGAGCACTGTGTCTGGGAGCGGCTGGTGCAGGTTTCAGAATTCAGAGATGGGAGGTATGGGGCTGGTGCCTTTGCAAAGAATTGGTTTTCATTGGGAGCCCTTTCAGATTCCAGGCCCTGTTATGTATACTGGGGACATGTTTGTGCACTCACATGCACCTGGTAAAGGTAGGTGGGTGGCTAGGAGGGGACTCTGAAAGATGTGTAATTGAAGTCAGTAAGCCTAAGTCTTTTTTCCATCTTCCTGAGGGGCCTGACAGCAGCTCATCTGAGCCTTCCTGGGTTTCCGTAGGCCTCACAGGATATGAACAGATCCAGGAGTAGTGTTTAAAGTAGTTCTCTCTCCCTAGTGGACTTTTCTGTCTCTTGGGGGACTTTGTTCTTCCTTGGGGCAGGGCTCCTAGTTGGGAGCAGAACAAGAGCAGGCCACTATGGGTGCTTGGGACAGAGGGACATTAGCTAGGGATGGGCTTTTTCATCAGACTTGCTCAAAACTAACTGAAGACTATTCTGTTTGCCCACACTAACCACATTTCCCAGTCAGCTTGGGATTGGTGGGCAAGTAGGGAGTCCATGGGATCTTTTAGCGGCCTGAACTTTCAGTACTTTATTATATCCCTTTATGATATTGGTGAACAAAATATCAGGTAGGATGATCATAGGATCTGACTTCCCGGTTTAGAAGGAACAGACAGTGACCTAAAAAACTTTGCCTTGCTTTTTCCAAGATCTTTAGGAATAACTTAACTGCTGAACCTGATTCCCTTTTCCAACTTGTTAATGTACTTGATGTTTCAGGCCCTTGCCTGTGTTCCTCCTGGTAGCATGCAGGGAGTATTGGGGCCTACATTATGGTTCTAGGAGGAGTGATTTCCGCCATGTCTCAGGTGTAATTGAAACTAATCCTGTAAGAAATAGCTGCCTCTGGCAGGGTCCTGGTTCTGAGCAGCCTAGTCAGGGCACTGGGTGGTATTAGGCTTCTCTGGATCAACCCAGTATTAGCAAGACAATCAGTAAATAGCTCTCTAGGCCTAAGGGTTCCATCCTGTAGGGACTGAGATTTCTGGTTCTTCACTGCCCAGCACTGGGGATGGGGGGGATGCTGTGGGCCTGGGTTCCATGGCTTCATGTCTCAGAGGTGTGTGGGGTGTCTTGAGAGGCCAGTGGTTCCAGTCTGGAGTGGAAGCCAAGAATGCAGTGACTTCACAGAGTCAGGCAGGGACTCTTTCTACTCATTAAGGAAACATGGGTCTGATCAAGGAGTAGAACATTCCTTTTGAGACCAGCCTTGCAAATTTCTCTGCTCAGAGACTGGGGGCAGCTCTTGCCCTGGCATGGCTGGCCAACAGTGGAGACAAAGTGATTGGAGAGAAGTGGGTGAGCGGAGCCTTATGGGTCTCTGGGGGAGGAAGGGTTTAGAAACCCTTCAGAACCGTGTTGAGAAAACAAGTGTAGGTGTAGAAGGGATCAGACCTATTAGAGCCACTTCCTTAACACACACACACACACACACTCTCTCTCTCTCTCTCACACACACACACACACACACACATATTTTCTTTTTAAAAGCTCATGACTGTCGTTTTTGAAATTGCTAGAGAATTCCAAACAAAATAAATTACTATAAACATACTGCTTAACTCCATAACTACTTAGTTATGTGTCCTTCCAGAGTTTCTACTATGTATGTGTGCATATGCACATTTTTTGTTTTACCAAAATAGGATTGTAACTTTTCTCATTTATTATTTTTTTTTATTGATTTCAGAGTGAGAAAGGGAGAGGGAGAGAGACATAGAAATATCAATGATGAGAAAGTCATTGATCAGCTGCCTCCTGCATGTTCTTGCTGAGGACTGAGCCTGCAACCTGGGCTTGTGCCCTGACTGGGAATCGAACTGTGATCTCCTGGATCATTGGATGATGCTCAACTGCTGAGCCACGCTGGCCGGGCTCATTTATTTATCTCTTCACATCAGTAGAGATCGTTACCTTTTTAATGACTAAAAATTATTAAACAGTACTTTGGTGGACATCTTTGTAACACTTTTCTAATTTGTATCATTAGGAAAAATTCCTAAAAGTAGAACCATTGAGTCAAACGGGGCCTCACTTTTTCTTTGGAAACTTGGAAGGTAGACAGACAGAATTTTTCCTGAGTGTCTAACTTTCCCATTGACCACAGGCCATTGAGGACAGAGCTGGCCCTGGTGTGTGAGGGCTTAGAAGAGGTCCCTGAACTTACTGATTGCCCAGTTAGAGTTTTTATCTTGCCTTCCCTGTGATCACTAGCCCAGGTCTGCTCACACACAGATTTCTAGAATGTTAGAACCAGAGAGGGTCTTTTACCTTTCTTTTAGGAATCTGAGAGTTAACTCTGGCATGGACTCAGTCTGCCATGGACCTACTCCAGGTCTCAGTGCCCTTTTTTCAAGGGGATATAGGGCTATGAGAGCCGTCCCACCTCAGAGTCAAGTTCCTGGGGTTTTGGCTGCTAATTGTTCCATGAGCTCACTTTCCATGATTTCCTCAGAAAGGCTGGTAAGATTGTTATTGGCATTTGAGCACGTGTCCTTTATGTCTTCCTCCTTTGGGAACCTACAGGTTGCTTGGTGGAGCGGGAGTGGTGATAGGAGTGAGGAGCTGGTGGTAGTCCTCTCCCATAGGCTCCGCATAACCATCTCTCCCTTGTTCCCACAGAACATTCTGTTCCTGCAAAGGTGGTGAGGGCAGCAGTTCCTAAACAGCGCAAAGGCAGCAAGGTAAGGAATAGGAGTAGGCAACCCAAGGGGACTTCCTGGAGATGGTGACCTCTTTCCTATTCTAGTTGAGTGCTTCTGAGCTGCCAGGTAGTTCTGGATTCTCTTTGTGTTGATGATCCTAGTGGGAAGACTGATTTTGACCTGTGATCTCTTGATGGAGCTGTGTTTTGGGCAAGGGGATGAATGGCAGAGGCAGGGTCACACCAGAGCCCTCACAGAATGTGATTTTTCAGGTTGGTGACTTTGGAGATGCAATCAACTGGCCCACACCTGGAGAGATAGCCCACAAGAGTGTGCAGGTGAGTCTGAGGAGAGGGATGGGTAGGATGGAACTCTGTCTACATGTATACATTTGGCTTTTCAAGCTTTCAAAGCTTTAGGTCTTGCCTTAAAGGGAATGGTTGGTATAATTTGGGCAGCACAGAAATAGCTAAGAGTCATCGTTTGAGCCCTGGCTGTGTATCAGGGACTGCCAGGTGCTGTCTATTCATTTCATCTAACCCTCACAGTGACTCCAAGATAGGTGCTTTAATGATTCCTGTTTTATAGATGAGGCCACTAAGGCTGGGAGAGATTAATTACTAGTCCTTAATGGCCAAGTGGGGATTGGAAGTCAGATATGTTGCATTATTCCAAAACCTGTGTTCTCCATCACTATACTTGGATTGCCAGAAAGTGGTCATTGGCCAGGTACCGCCTCTAGACCACATGTCTTGGGGAAGCTTTATAGCTCTTCTTAGTCCCAGCAAAGGAGGGGCTTCTGGCCAGTCCTCTTCTTCCCCATGCTTTTGTTCTAGGCTGACGGTCTAAGTCCCTCCCTGGTTGTGGCTACTCGCCTTTAGTTTGCAGACAGGGTTGGTATGGACGGGGCCGAAGGCCAGCATCTTCTTCATCCCACAGACTACCTGGATGTGGTCCTGTTGCAGAGAGTAAATAAACATTTGGCTTTGTGAGCCTCAGCCTCTCTGTCCTGAAGGTTGTCTCTTTTGCTTAGATTTAAGGAAGCCAGAGAGGCAGGTTGTCTCCCACCTTCTGTCTATGTGACCATGCTCCCCAATGAAAGCATCTCAGGCATGAAAACAGGACCTTTAGAATGCATCCAGCCCAACCTGCCATCGCATGCCTCAGCTACTCCTGCCCTGTCTTTCTAGTGACAGTGGCTCCCTTCCATCCATCCCAAGAGACTTGCAGACTTAGCACACCTCCCTGTCACTTTACTTCCTGCTTATAGCCACAGCCCCACAAATCTCAGCCTGCCCGTAAGCTGCCACCCAAAAAGGACATGAAGGAACAGGAGAAAGGAGAGGGGAGCGATAGTAAGGAGAGCCCGAAAACCAAGTCGGATGAGTCGGGGGAGGAGAAGAACGGGGACGAGGACTGCCAGCGAGGGTGTCAGAAGAAGAAAGGTGAGTGACTTGGAGCATGGCTTGGGAGGAGGTGGCAGGGCAGCACTACAGAATGACAGAATTTGAGGGCTACAGAGGAATTTCAGGAGCCCCGAGAAATCCTTTGGAGGCTGGCTGGTGTAGGCCTCTGGGCCAGTAGTTTCACTTCAGCCATCAGTCGGTCAGATCCTTCTCTTATTAAACAAGCATTTGGTAAGCCCTGTTCTGAGCAGTGAGGCTCCAGCAGTGCACAAGACAGGTGAGGTCCCCACCTCAGTATTCTTTGTGTGTCTTAATATTATTGCTGTCCCGTGAAAGATTTCATTTGAAGATAAGAGTTCCCATTGCTCTGGCTGAAACTAAGGTTAGGGCAGAAGTTTGGCTGCTCTAATAGATATCCAAAGTAATAGTGATTGAACAAGACGGACGTTTCTTTCTCCTGATAGCGCAGTGTAAGTAGGCCAGGCCCAGAATGGCAACTCGTTGATTCCTTTTTATCTTGCTGTGGTGTGTTGGCGCTTCTCGTCCAACATGGCTTGCTATTACCCACTCATTTCAGCTAGCAGGAAGGGAAAAAGGGGAGAGTGCCTTTATTTTAGGGACTCAACATGGAATTGACTACTTTCAGCTCCCATAGCCAGAACTTTGGCATGAGTCTAAAAGGAGCCCGGAGAGTGCAGTCTTGATTCTGGGCAGCCATGTGTCTGGCTCCAGAAGGGAGTCCCCTGACCATGGAGAAATTGGTATTGAGAGTCCCCCAGGAGTGTCCCTCAAAATGAAGTCCAGCATGGGAAAAGAATTTGCCCAAGGTCACCAGATTGTTGTTCAGGCCTGAAGCCCTGGGCAGGGGTAGAAGGTTGGGGCTAAGTATAGCTGGGAGGGACCTCCTTCAAGCCCTTCTCGTGTGCCTATGCTGTCCTCCAGGGAACAAACACAAGTGGGTCCCATTGCAAATAGACATGAAGCCTGAAGTGTCCAGAGAGAAACTGGCCTCCCGCCCTGTTCGCCCGCCAGAGCCACGACACACACCTGCTAACCGCGGGGAGATCAAAGGTATGTGCCACCTACTATGGAGGGCCTGGGTATTGGGGTCACCCTCAGGCCTGACCCAGAGCCCTCTCTCATAGGGTCTGAGCCTGCCACCTACATGCCTGTGCCTGTGGCCCCCCCCACTTCAGCCTGGCAACCAGAGACCAAACCGGAGCCTGCCTGGCCTGACCAGGATGAGACATCGAGTGTGAAGAGTGATGGGGCTGGTGGGGCACGGGCTTCCTTCCGCGGCCGTGGACGGGGGCGTGGTCGTGGCCGGGGACGTGGCCGGGGTGGCACTCGAAGTACGTGAGGCCCCTTTGGGCTCCGGGATGTCCCAGGGAGTGCGGCGGGGGCAGTGGGCAGGAATCGCCTCTCCCTCATGACACCCATTTTTCCTGTAGCCCATTTTGACTACCAGTTCAGCTACCGAAAGTTTGATGGTGCAGAGGGTCCTCGAACCCCCAAGTACATGAACAACATCACCTACTACTTCGACAATGTCAGCAGCACTGAGCTTTATAGTGTGGATCAGGAGCTGCTCAAAGACTACATCAAGCGCCAGATGTGAGTTGGTGGGAATTTTCTTTCTGGGTAGGGGTTTGGGGGCTGCCTGAGTTTGGCAGCTGGGCAGAGTAGGGCTGGACAGGCCTTTCAGTTGCTCCTCTAGCTGGAGCTAAGAAAGATAACTTTCATCTTTTAAGCTAATTTTTCATAAAGTTATTGTTTACTACAGAAGTAATACCATATTTACCTTAAGAAAATTATAAGTTGTCACTAACCAAATGGAAAGAAGATATATGGACTACCCCCTTCCGTGCAGAATGCTAGCAAGCATTGAGTCCTCACTATTGGTGAGGCTAAGTGCTTGACAGGCATTCTCATATTTAATCCTGCAGTTGTCAACTTAATTCCTCTGAGCTGGTTTTATCCCCATTTTATAGATGAGCAAACAGGCCCAGTACTTTGCCCAGTGTCTCACAACTAGTAAGTAACAAGGCACATAGTTGAATCCGTTTCTGTCTGATTGTAAAACCTTTGCTCCTAACTACTACAGTATATTGTCTCTCAGTCCAGTGGGGGAGCCATACAAGGAAATAGATCATGGCCCATAGAGTTCGATAAGTGTTTTTAGGAGCCAAAGAGGGAGGGAGTTTTCTAGGCATGCAAAGGGGCTGAAGGGCAGAGGGAATGGTTTGAGCCAAGGCTGGGAAGCCATGAGAGGATAACATTTCTTTCATTCCTTAAAACCATTGTATGTACACTAGGGACACAGAGGTAAGTCAGGCTATGTGAGGTTGCTGGGGTGTACAGAAGAACAGGGAAGGCCTGTTTGTAAATGATAAAGCAATCATACCTGTTCTCCCCTCCACCTAGTGAATACTACTTCAGCGTGGACAATTTAGAGCGAGACTTCTTCCTGCGACGGAAAATGGATGCAGACGGTTTCCTTCCCATCACTCTTATTGCTTCCTTCCACCGAGTGCAGGCCCTTACCACTGACATTTCACTCATCTTTGCGGTATGTCTCTTTCCCTGAGCCTGGGGTGCAGGGGAAAGAACGGTCTTGACTTACAAAGCTGGAGTTTGGACCAAGGCAGGAAACCTTGGAAGAGAGCCCCCATTTGATTACTTGTGCAAAAGTTCCAAGGCCTCTCTCCCTATCTCCTTTTTCTTCCCTTCATCCCTCTGTCCCCCTTTTATTACGGAAATTTTCTCACAGGTACAAAAGTAGACAATGTATAATGAACTCATCGCCCTGCCTCAGCAATTTGCAACTCATGGCCAGTTTTATTCCATCTACCCCCTAATTTGTTTTCTCTCCCAGATTATTTTGAAGAAAGTATCCGGTAACCTGACATTTCATCCATGTTTCATTACCTGTCTAAAAGATAAAGACTTGTTAAAAAATACATACATAATCACAATATCATTATCCCATGTAGAAGTATTAATAATTCCTTAAGATTACCAAATACTTGGTCAGTTGCAAATTCACTCCACTTGCCAAAAAAATTTCTTCTAGTAGTTTATGAGACCCATGTGTTCTCATAAATGTCCCCTCCCCTCATTTTTCCTTGTAACTTATTATTTGAATAAACAGGGTTGTATATCTTGTGGACTATCTTGTAGGACACAGTAGTGTCATTTAACATGTTCTATACTCCAAATTTTTTGTAAATTGGTGATCTAGAGGCTTAATCAGATTCAGGTCTGGGGTTTCCTCCCCCCAACTCCTTTTCAAGAGTACTTTAGAGATACTTTGATTCTCCCTCTTGTGATAGAATCTTCTATTGGTGATCATTGCCTTTTATTTCATTGGGGATTGCAAATGCTGATATTCTCATTCTGTCAATCCATCTTCATGTGTTACCTGAAATACCTTTTAAGGAGAATCTTTGCTTCTATTAAAATTCAGGACTATAGGGTCTTTACTTAGCCCTAAAGATCTCTGACTTATTCCATGCCAGAACTCTGATTACATCAGCATTAGGATTTTTACTTCACAGTTTATACACATTATTATTATACCTACAAACAAGTGGGGGTTTTTTTTGTTGTTGTTTTTTGGTTTGTTTTGTTTTTTCTCTACTTACAGAGTCAGATACTGTATTTTCAATTTGTTTGAAATAATCTTTGGGTATTGTGTCTTTAGCTTGATATAGTTTCATTTTGCTCTGCAGTTTTGTGGATTGCTTCCTCCCCACCCCCCAATTTCTAATTTATTTTACATTCATGTAAAACATTTACATGATTCCAAATCTGCATAGTGATATTCAATAGAAATCTGACCTAAAATTCTTTTGCTTCCACCTTTTCCCCTCTCTTCCCCTGTAGGTAACCTTTTTGGAATCCTTCTATTAAAAAATAAGCACGTGCCTCTATATATATTTGTCTCCTTCCTCTTCCTTGCATGCATGGTAACACATAACGCATGTATTTCTCCACCTGTGTTGTTTTCACTAAGTATATCTGGGAGCATAGTAGTATAGAATAAAAAAGATACTCTATCCTTTTTACAGTTGGATATATATCTCTTCATTATTTTGTCATGTGTCTTTGGTGTAAATTTCTAGAATAAGATTGGCTGAACTAAAAGACAAGTGCTTATGTAATTTTGCTAGCTGTTGCCTAATTCTCTTTCCAGGGATGGGCCTTTTGTATTCTCACCAGCAGTATGCGAGAGTGCCTCTTTCCCCAGCCTCACCAACAGAGGATGTTGGGACATGTTGAAATGTTTTCCTCATCCATTTAAAATATTTTTAAAAGAAAACTCTTCCCCTCTCTTCTCTTCACCTCTTTTCCTAGAGACAAACACCTGTAACAGTTTACCTGGGAATTCTAGAAAAATTTGTATTTGTATGTTTTTACTCAAGCACCAATAGGATCTTATACTAACACACCTAGACCTGTTTTTTGTGCTTTTTCCGCCTCAGCACTTGTGTGAAGCTGTTTTTAATGTCTGAGTAGTGTTCCCTTGAGTGGCTATGCCATAATTTATTTAAATTGCCTGTGTGGTGGCAAGTTAGGAAGTTCCCACATCTTTTTCTATTATGCACAATGTTGCTCTAAATCGCCTTTTGTGTGTGTCTTGTCACCTGTTTGTGCAAGAATCTCTCGGGCAGATTACTGGATGTAGAATGGCAGGGTCAGAGGGCAGGTGTGTTTTTCATGTTCATGCCCCCTACGAGTTTGAACATCTCATTTGTCCACCAGCCGTGGAAGGTGGTGCCAGTGTTCTAATACTCCTACCAGCCCTGGATTCATACCCAAGCTCGTGGGGGCGCAGTCATCTACAGGCTTCTAAATCTCGGTCCGTCCAAGACTTCCCTCTGCATCCTCTCCCTTTTTCTCTCCTGCAGGCCCTAAAAGACAGCAAGGTGGTAGAGATTGTTGATGAGAAAGTCCGCAGGAGGGAGGAGCCGGAGAAATGGCCTCTTCCTGGTCCCCCAATAGTGGATTATTCCCAGACCGATTTCTCCCAGCTGCTCAACTGCCCTGAGTTTGTCCCCCGCCAGCACTACCAGAAGGAGACAGGTATGTACGCTGCTGGCATATTGGTGCCTCCTTTTGCCCTTGCCCTCCGGCCGGCAGTCCTCCTCAGGGCCAGCATCATGAGGAGGACTGGAGGAATGAGGACCCTACCTTTCCACCCTTCAGAGTCGGCTCCTGGCTCTCCTCGTGCAGTCACCCCAGTGCCAACCAAAACAGAGGAGGTCAGCAACCTAAAGACACTGCCCAAGGGCCTGTCTGCCAGCCTGCCTGACCTGGATTCCGAGAACTGGATTGAGGTGAAGAAGAGGCCTCGGCCCTCCCCAGCACGACCCAAGGTGGGTTGGCCTGTCCTAGGGCCCAGGCTGGAGTGCTTGGAGGGAATATCACATAGAGCTCTGGGCTTTGAAGGGCTGTCGGGCAAGCTGGTGGCTCAGGGTGTAATGTGAGCTGAGGTCACCAGTGACTGCAGGGGGTTGATGTGACGTGTTTCCATTGTCAGTGGTCCCTCAGGACAACACTAGCTGTGTGAGTTCCTGAGTGGCATTTTCATAGGAGGAAATCATGTAGCTTCTGGCAGCAGTGTTCCAAGTTTCTTGATGCTTAGCTGTTTTTTTGCCCCGTCTAAATCTCTGGGACTGCATTTTAAGTGCCTTTTCCCTGAATTTGTCTTCATTGCACCTATATAAGCCCCTCAGGCCCTCAGAAAAAGGAAGAGACTGGGAGCAGATTCATAGCCTGGATGTAGAGTTAGTCTATGGACTAGAACACAGATCTCATGTCACTGATGGCCAGTGACTTTCGGGCCCATATTTAATATCTCAAGGCTGCAGTTTGCCTTCCCCGCCTTCAGATGGAGGGATTCGACTGCTGTAGAAATAGTAAGGCAACGTATGAATAGTACACATTGAGGTTGCTGTTAGAGAAGTGTTTTGCTCTCAAACGAAATTACTGCTCCCCTTTCCAGGAGCAGACTTTGCTCCATCTACCTCCCCACTCCCTATGCCCTCTTTAGTCCAGGGCTTGTGAGGGGGCCTCAAAGATGATCTTGGACTTTGGGTCTTTAGAATTCTGTACTCCCTTTTCCATTGTACCACTATAGTCACTTCTTCCAGGGAGTCTTCCCTGACTATCCTCATTGGTTAAGTGCCCCTCTCCTTATGTACTCCCACAAGTCCTATTTATAGTCTTCACCATACCACCTGCACTTGGGTGGCTTGTGGTTGACTTTTTCCTTTTTTTCCACTAAACTGTGAGCTCCTTAAATTCAAGGACTTTGTCTTATTCATTACTATGCTTTTAGGGTTCTTCATACAGGGCCTGATACCAGTGGGTTTGCTCGTTCATCAAATAGTTGAACTACTATCACTAGGTCCCAACCTAGGTACTGAGGATAAGAAGAAAAGCAAGGCAGATATGGGTCTTGCCTCATGAAGCTGTATGGGGAGATGAATAAATGGATGATTGAACCTGCTGAACTGCTGTGTGCCCCCTCCCAGGTTAGGTGCTGTGTAGGATATAGAGGCAAATGAGAGTATAGTTTCTACCTGTAGGGAACTTGTCATCTCATTGTTTGTGAATAACTGTAATGTGAGCTGTATGTAGAGAAACCTGGAATCCTGTGGGACATCATCTCCCCATGAAGCTGCTTCCAAGGCACATGTGACTTGCTGGCATTATTAGAGCACAGTTGTGACAATATATTGTTGTGGGGCTGGAACCTCTATTGTAGGACAGCTATAGAACCTGATCTAGGGCACCCTGGTGATTCTCTTTCCCCTTGTTTATCCCCGTGTTAGAAGTCAGAGGAGCCTAGATTCCTCCACCAGACCTCTCTGCCTCAGCAGCTGCCCTCTCAGCAGCTGATGTCCAAGGATCAGGATGAGCAAGAGGAACTAGATTTCCTGTTTGACGAGGAGATGGAGCAGATGGATGGGCGGAAGAACACCTTCACTGCCTGGTCTGATGAGGACTCTGATTATGAGATAGATGACCGAGATGTCAACAAGATCCTCATTGTCACTCAGACACCACCTTACATGCGCCGGCACCCAGGGGGGGACCGCACAGGCAACCACACCTCCCGTGCCAAGATGAGTGCTGAGCTGGCCAAGGTCATTAATGATGGGCTCTTCTACTATGAGCAGGACCTGTGGACTGCAAAGTTCGAACCTGAGTACTCCCAGATCAAGGTAAGTTCTAACGTAGCAGTGAGGGTGGGGCCTGGGGTGCCAATAACAAATGGGAAGAAAGAAGGCTAATTAGCCGTGTGACCTTGGGCACAGAACCTCACTATCCTCAATATGAAAAGGCGGTTGCTAATTGACACCTGACTGGGACATGGACAGCGAAAAAAGATGTTTAAACACTTTGTAAGCTGCCAGTGTGCAGGATGGTTACTGTGCCACCTGCGCGTCCATATTTAGGGTTGTGACAGTCTAGAATAAAGATTAGATTGACATTTTTATTCTAAAATATTTAGGCACATATAAAAGTTTAAAAGTCTTTTAAGAAGCTTGCTTTGAGCTTGGAAGATGGAGAAAAGATAGGTCTTTTATAAAATCGTTGCTGCTTGGAGACAGTCAAAACCTCTGTTGCAGGTTTTTACAGAGTAGGTATATGTGGAGGTGGGTGGGCCTTTGGTAAGCCTGTGTAGTAAGTAGCAGTGTGTTTAGTGGAAGTGAGGAGAGAGTAGCAGCAGTGAGAGATCTGGGGGAGTCTGCATTGAGTTCCTGGGGAGCTGGAGTCCTAATCTGTCCTGTTGCACATAGGTCTGGGCAAATACTACCCTTCTGGGTTAGCACACTTGTGCCCAGGTAACTGGGGTTGAGGAATGGTGATGGGGCATCTCAGAGCCTGGGGACCAGAATTCCACGTATGTGGATGTGGGAGGTACCCTCTCCAGCTTCCTGCACATCTTGATTCCTAAACAGGCTAGGGCAGTCCTCTTACTGACATCTTTCCCCACCCATCTCGTATCCTCTGCAGCAGGAAGTCGAGAACTTCAAGAAAGTCAACATGATCAGCCGGGAGCAGTTTGACACACTAACCCCTGAGCCCCCTGTGGATCCCAACCAGGAGGTCCCTCCTGGGCCACCTCGATTCCAGCAAGGTGAAGGGTGACACTGGGGACCCTGGCCTGGGTTGGAGGGACAGGGGAGGTGGCCTTCCAAGGATAGACAGTCACGGGCCTACCCCTGCTTGCTGACCCTGCTCTGCCTCTTGCAGTTCCCACTGATGCCCTGGCCAACAAGTTGTTCGGTGCTCCTGAGCCCTCTACCATTGCCCGCTCTTTACCAACCACTGTCCCAGAGTCTCCAAACTACCGCAATGCCAGGACCCCCCGCACTCCCCGGACACCACAGCTCAAAGACTCAAGCCAGACGTCACGGTTTTACCCAGTGGTAAAGGAAGGACGGACACTAGATGCCAAGGTGAGGCGCTCCTGCTGAGCTACTAGGAGTCTTGGGCCCACTTTGCTGCATCCCATTGCTTTGCTTCTCTCTCTTCAGCCTTGTCTAAACCAAGAGAATACCAGATTCCCCACCTGCTCTGTGTTCTTAGGCTGGTGGGCCCAACCTGGGACTGAGTGACTACATTCTACAAAATGGACTGTATGTGGGAGTGGTGGCCCCATGGAGCTATGATAAGACCTAAGGAAGACTGACCAGGTGTAGGTCCTTGGGCAAATCACTTCGCTCCCAAGCCTCAACTTCTTCCTCTGTGAAATAGGCGTATCAGCTCCTAGCTGTGGACATTATGAGATGATAGATATGAAAATGATTTGTAAATTGTGAGATGGCACACACATATGAGGGGATCTTAAACCTACAAAATGCTTGATGCTCCTCACAGTTGTATGAGTACAATAAATAACGAGTCCTGGACTGACCTTTGCAGATGCCTCGGAAAAGGAAGACAAGACACAGCTCCAACCCACCCTTGGAGAGTCATGTTGGCTGGGTGATGGATTCCCGAGAGCACAGGCCCCGGACTGCTTCCATCAGGTGCGGGGCTTTGGGGAGGAGAGATCAGGTTGACTGGGGTGGGTGGGAGAGCCATGAGATCGATGGGACCAAGAAAATAGAACCTCTTTGGTAAGAAAATTTAAAGAAAAGGACTTTCATCTAAATCCAAAAAAACCACTAGTCATCTAGAAAGCTTCATCCAGGGCCTGGGAAGAGGAAGGCTTCTTTCTAAAACAGCAGTGTCACAGCCACTTGGGACCAGATTCTCAGAGAATATCCTTGAGTTGTCTTCAAACAAGGATATTTGCTGCCCACCTCAGGATAGCCAGGTAGTTGAATAAAAATACAGATTCCTGGGGCTTGCTGGGGTTAGGACCTAGGTTCTTTTTTGTGTATTTTTAGTAAAATAGCCCAGACCAAAAATAAGCATAATTTTAAGGAAAATATAGATGGATTAACCCATAGTAGCTCGTTGAGGGAAGGTAAATGTTAACTCAGGATAAATAAATGGTTAAATGCTCAGGTTTGGGTTTGGGCATTGGGCATATCTCAGCCTTTAAATAGCTTCATGACCTGGGACGAGTCTCCCAATCTCTGTGAGTCTTAACGACCTCTTTGTAAAACTCTGAAGGTTGATGCAAAGAGCAAGTCAGATCCATTGATATAAGTCAAGGGCCCAGCACAGTACCTGGGTCTCCTTATTTGTTGCCCTGTGAGAGGCTGGATCTTGGCTAATGGAAGAGACCTAGAGGGGTGGCTGCTAACCTGACAGCCAGCTGTTCCGGGGAACCTGGTGACACTATCTCTTTCATGGCCTCTGTAGCTCCAGCCCCTCAGAAGGGACGCCTACGGTTGGCAGCTATGGCTGTACCCCTCAGTCGCTGCCCAAGTTCCAGCATCCTTCCCATGAGCTGCTCAAGGAAAATGGCTTCACACAACACGTCTACCACAAGTATCGTAGGCGCTGCCTTAATGGTAAGAAGCACAGGGGGAAGGGGCTGAGCCTCTGGGGCCACTACTTAGATCCATAGTATAAGTGCTGGTGGAGTAGGTGACTATTTCCTTTGACCTCAAAGCAAGAAGTGGTGTGACATAGCAAGAAGGAATAAAATTAGACTCGAGCCAGGTAGTTTTAAGGAGGCTAAAAGAATCTGGTACTCAAAACATTCCTGCTCCTTGACCTTCCTCTATTGATATAAAAGATATCAAGAGTTTTCCTATTTCTGGTAAGACTACCAACTCAGCCATTGTCCAGAGTGGTCTACTGTCCATTGCAAAAGGTATGTGTGAGGCAGAATATGTTCTTGAGAACGGGTTGCCTAACTATGGGTGGGCCAGATCCAGCCAGTAGCCTATTTCTCTATTAGAGTCCTTGAGCTAAGGGTAGTTTTTACATTTTTAGAAGGTTGTGGAGGGGGAAAAACGAATTTATGATAGAATTTATGATATGTGGCTTGCAATGCCTAAAATATTGATTCTCTGACCCTTCACAGAAGAAAGTTTGCTAACCCTGCCCTAGATGATAGTAAAGGAAAGAACCACTCTAGGTGCTCTCACGTTTCCTTTTATCACAAAAGGGGGTGCCTTTTAACTATAGGTTTCTGTCATGTTCGCTGTAAAAGTACTGAAACTAATCTTAATACTTCTAATTATTACCTCATTTGACCCCTTTCATTCAGCAGAGCATGGCTGCTAAATGCTTGGTTCTTCACCTTACTTTCCTCTTCACTTCCTCTGCATGCATGTGTATGTGGAGTAACAGCTTCACTGAGATACAATTTATATACCATACAGTTCACCCATTTAAAGTATTGAATACATTACATCTTGGCCTTTGGGCTAAGATCAAGTGTAGTATCTGTTCTTACCAGTTTAATATCTGTTATGTCCTCTGTCCGAGGATAATATATTAAATGGATTTTTTTTTTTTTTTTTAATGGATTTTTAGAACAGGGAGATGGAATAGGAGCTTGTTCTATCCACTCTTCACATCGACCTGGTATTGCAGTACTTCCATGAATGGTGCACGCACACACAAAAAATAAAGTGTACCATGCAGTCACCAGAAACAATTCTAGAACATTTCATTCCCACAAAAAGAAAGCCGACCCCTTACCTGTAACTCCCCAACACCCCCTTTCCCCTAACTCCTCCCAGGCTTATACAACCCCACCTATTCTCTATCTCTGGACTTTTTGTATTAATGGAACGGTACATTGTTTTCAAGGTTCATCTATGATATAGCATGTATCTATCAGTAGTTCATTCTTTTCATTGCCAAATAACATTCCATTATATGGATATAGCACATTTTGTTTATCCATCCATAATTGATGGGCATTTGCGTTTCCACTTTTTGTCTATCATGAATAATGTTGCTGTGAACATTTCTATACAAGTTTTTGTGTGGATGTAGGTTTTCATTTGTCTTGTGTGAGAGAGTGGAAATTGCTGGGTCTTATGGTAATTCTATGTTTAACCTTTTGAGGGAACTCGAAATTCAAAAGTGGCAGCACCGTGCCCTGGCCAGTTTGGTTCAGTGGTTAGAGTGTCAGCCCTCAGATTGAAGGTTCCCAGATTTCAGCCAGGGACACGGCTCATACCTCGGCCCCGTTCAGGGCCATGCAGGAGGCGGCCAGTTGATGTGTTCCTCTCACATCGATGTTTCTCTCTCTCTCTCACTTCCACTCTCTCTGAAAAGCAATGGAGAAAATATCCTCAGGTGAGGATTTTAAAAAAACAAAACAATGGCAGCACCATTTTATTTTCCTAACAGCAATTTCTCCGCATCCTCTCAACACTTGTTATTGTCTATCTATCTTGAGCATAGCCATCCTGGTAAATATGAAGTGATACTTCCTTATGGCTTTGATTTGCATTTCCCTGATAGCTAATAATATTGAACATTTTTCCTTGTTGGCCGTGTTTATTCTTCTTTGGAAAAATGTCTATTCAGATCCTTTGCCTGTTTAACTGGGTTATTTGTCTTTATTATTAAGTTAGAGTTCTTTATGTAATTTTTAGATACAAGTTTCTTAACAGATACGAGATTTGCAAATATGTTTTCCCATTCTGTGGGTTGTCTTTCCTTTGTTAGTATCCTTTGAAGCACAAAGATTTTTAATTTTTTTTAATGATAATCAGATTTATCTATTTTTGCTTTTTTGTGTACTGTTTTTAAATGTTACCACTTTGTACTTGTTAATATTGTAGAACTCCTGGAATTATTATTGATAATCAGTAATGAAGACTATAACTTGTCAGAATGTACAAGTTACTTGTTCATGCTTTTCTTTGTTCTAACTGTGTTTGAGTGCAGTACTGTTTGAGGTGAAGAGCTAGACCAGGATGACCTGGTTCAGAAGCTCCTGCCACCTGCTTCTGGTGAGGCACAGGCCCAGAGCCCTGCAGCAGGGCCCGCACAGGGTAGTTAGTGCTCCATGATATATATCCTGAAAGACCGAGGGGCAGGCGATGAGCAAGGGAATTGGGAGGTGCTGGAGAGAGGACCATGGTCCTTGAGCTCTAGGACCCATTTGTCCTCTGAAGCACTGGCAGCCTGGTCCTGATGTCTTTCCGTCTTTCTCTCCCATCAGAGCGGAAACGCTTGGGCATTGGCCAGTCTCAGGAGATGAACACTCTCTTTCGATTTTGGTCCTTCTTCCTCCGAGATCACTTTAACAAGAAGATGTATGAGGAGTTCAAGCAGCTGGCTCTGGAGGATGCCAAAGAAGGCTACAGGTGAGTGAGGTTGGGGTGGGGGCTCTGGCTAGTGCTTGGTGGGTAGTTAGTGGTCCCTGGTGGGTCCCTTCCAGAACTGTAACTGGAAGTCTCTTGTGTATATACTTCATTTAAAATGTATTATTTTTTAATGGATAGTATATTCACTGGTTAAAGTTTCCAAGAGTTCAAAGATTATATAGTGAGAAGTCTCCTCATCCCTTTCTCCTGCCATCTATTTCATTTCCCCATAGTCCCCCAGTAATGTTAGAATCTTGTGGGTCCTCTCTGGAAACATTTTGCCCATGTAAGCAAGGACATACGCCTATGTAGTCTCACCTCTACCTCTTTGTTTACACAAAAGATGTCCTCTATTATATGTGCTTTTGCACCTTGATTTTCTAGTTAATGCTATATTTTAAAGATAATTCAAGCCCGGCCGGGCGTGGCTCAGCGGTTGAGCGTCAACCTAGGATCCAGGCAATCGGGGTTTGATTCCCGGTCAAGGCACATGCCCGGGTTGTGGGCTCAATCATTGACTCTCTCATCATTGATGTTTCTATCTCTCTCTCTCCCTCTCCTTTCCTCTCTCTCTGAAATCAGTAAAGATATATTTAAAAAAGAAAAGAAACACATCTCTTAAAAAAAAAAAAAAAAAAAAGGATAATTCGATATCCACCCATAAATGACATTCTTGTTCCTTTTATATAGTCTGTATGTTCTTACACTCTATGGATGTACTGTAATTTATTTAACCAGTCTCCTAATAGATACTTAGGTAATTTTCAATATTTTACTGTTTAAAAATCTTTTTAGACTCTTCTTTCTTTTTCCCAAGTAAAATGTGTTCTCTAAGGAATTTGAAAAGTATAGATGTGCTTAAGGAAGCTAGGGGGAAACATGCCTCAGTGTTAAAGCTCTGCCGTATTTCATGTTTTTTAAATCATCCTGTGAATGCCTTTTTGTATTTTATTTATCATGTATAAGCATGAATATGTTTCCATGTTGTTAAAATAATTGACTTTTTGGCCTTTTATAGAAGTTATGTGTTTTTGTCTGAAAGTTTAGATAATACACATAAGGTCACTTGAAAAGTTCCAACTCCCAAAGATAACCAGTGTTGCTATATTTAAGTGTGTGCCCTTCTAGACTTTGTGTGCATGCATAGATGTAAAATTTACATATTTGTTTACAAAAATGGGCTCATTCTACATTTAACACTTTGAAACATGTCTTCCACTTGATAATATCTCATAAGCATTTGTCAGTATCATCAGTGAATATTTACATTGTAATTTTTAATAGCTTTATATTATTCTATTGAACAAATTTACCATGTTTTTTTCTTTCTTTCTTTAAAAAAAAAAAAATTATTGATTTCAGAGAGAGGAAGGGAGGGGTAGAGAGCTCTAGAAACATCAATGATGGGAGAGTCATTGATCTGCTGCCTCCTGCACGCCCCCCTACCGGAGATTGAGCCTGAAACCCGGGCATGTGCCCTGACCCAGAATTGAACTGCAATCCCCTGGATCATAGGTTTTTGCTCAAATGCTGAGCCACGGTGGCCGGGCACCATGTTTTTCTTAACCACTTCTCTATTCTTAGACATTTAGATTTTGTTTAATAATTCTACTATGAACAGTTTTGGTATTTCTGTAAAATCTAACTGCATTTTTGGCCGTTTCTCTAATGTGTTCCTAGAAGTGAAATTTCTGAATCAAATAAATGAAGACCTACTAATTGGCATATAGTCCTTGCCATGCAAATGTCTTTGCAAAGAGCTTATCTCAGGGATTGTCAAGATTTTTCTGCAAAGGGACAGACAAATATTTTACGTTTTGTCATCTCAGCTGCAACTACTCAACTCTGCTCTTATAGCAGAAAAGCAGACAATGACACTTCACAAATGAATTGGAGTAAACATGGTGTGATCAGGGGGCTGCTGTTCATTTGACTGGAGTTTGCTCACCCCTGGCAGACTGTAAACATTTAATGTAGGACCCACTCAACTAGCATGAAATATTAGCCTTCTTAAAGAATTTGCCATTTCCTTGATAATCCATTGTGTTCAAACTCTTTTCCCTGTTTTGAGATGAAACTGAGTCCTGATTTTCCTGACTTGTGTTCTACTGCAGATATGGTTTGGAGTGCCTTTTTCGATACTATAGTTATGGCCTAGAAAAGAAGTTCCGGCTGGACATATTCAAGGATTTTCAGGAAGAAACCGTGAAGGACTACGAAGCCGGTGAGAGCCACAATTGGAGCTCTGTGAGCCCTGGTCATCTAGGCCTTCTTCCCCTCACTCCCCATTTTGGCGTGGGTCTGTCACATCACACCTCAGTCTCCTCTGAGCTCCTTTATTCTCAGCTTCTCTCTGCCTCTCTCCTCTTTCCCTACAGGTCAGCTCTATGGGCTGGAGAAATTCTGGGCCTTCTTGAAATATTCCAAAGCCAAAAATTTGGATATTGACCCCAAACTTCAAGAATACCTCGGCAAATTCCGACGTCTCGAAGACTTCCGAGTGGATGTGAGTGAAAGTCTTTCTCATTCTGGTTGTCCTAGAAAGAAAACTGGGCGGAGATCAGGAAACTTGGGTTCTGGCCTCAGCTGTGCCACTGGCCCAGGGACACAGCCTGCTCTAATTTGGTCCTAGTGTCTTCCTCTGTAAAATCCAGGGTGAGAAGTAGACGGTGGGGGGTAGTTGGAAGGGGTTATATGGTTGCTCCTCCCTCTCCCTTCCCTTGATAGAAATGGCTAAACCATCATAATGCTCTTCCCCTTTTATCTTGCAACCCTCCTTGTTTACTGTGCCCTAGTTGATCAGAATGGGTACCCAAAGTAAAATGTTTATGTTCTTTCTGGAAGAGGCCAGTTCTAACCCCAAAAGTTTATAAATTATGTTCTGTTTTTCCTGTACCTCCACCCCACTCTCTTGTCTGTCTGTCTGTCTATATCATCTATCATCTATTTATAAGAGATTGGGAACCGGGGAGAGAGAGGGGGAGAAAGAGAGAAAGAAACATGGATGGGAGAAACATCGATTGGTTGGCTCCCCTATGGGCAGCCTGACCAGGGATCAAACCTGAAACCTGGGTATGTGCCCTGATCAGAAATCAAACCCCACCACTTTTCAGTGTGCAGGAAGACTGCTCCAACCAACTTAGGGGCACAGGCCAGTGTGCCCCCGTCTTCTTGGAGCACTGACTCAACAGTGACATCCAGTGGTGGATTGGGGTTATTGCTACTGGATTTTTTAAGGAAATTGGTAGTTGGAGTAATTGGATGTCTCTGTGCGAGGTGCTTCAGGGACTAGAGTTAATAATGTAGTGGGGACATGCCACTACATTATTAGTCCCTTGAGACCTTTTAGGAAAAAGGCAAGTATGTTTTTAAAACTGCCATTGATTGAGTGCTGTGTGCTGTACAATTTGCATTGTCCTCATTTAGCCTCTACAAAGTGGCGGAGTAGGCAAGGTTTATTGTTAAACCTGGGCCGTGACTGAAGCCCATGGCCACCAAGTGAGGCAGTGGCTGCACTGCCTAGGTCTCCCAGTATGAAGAGGAATAGAGTTTTTTCCATCCTTAAGTGTACTCTCTCCTTTGGGAGGGACACGTGCAGAGAGCCCTTGTAATAGGAAGACCAGTTAGGGTAGAACAAGATTTAACACCCAGAAAGGGAAGAAAACCTCCTCATGGTTACAAAACCTTTGGTAGTGGTGCTGCCAGACTGGATCATGGTCTGACTCTTAGAGCAGTGTCCTATTTGGGGCCTTGAAGGGATGAGACAGTCCCTAGGAGCCTCGGCCTTCTGAGCTGAGACGTCTCAGCCTGTTGCATGCCACACTCCAAGTGTCATCTCCTGAGCAGTGACCCTTTGCCATAACAGGAACAGAAACTCCTGTGGATAACAGCCTGGGCTTCAGCAGGACACGCCCAGTCCATATCTGGTCTTTATCGATTACCAGCTATGGAACCCTGGGCAGCTTACTTTTCAGTGCTTCAGTTTCTTCAGTTTACAGTATCAGTGATCATGTCTGCATCCAAGGGTGGTATAGACCCCATGACCAAGTGCATAAAGTAGTACAGTGCTTGGCACCCTAGCATGGCAAACATGCTCATTAAAACTGGTAGTTCATTTCTAGGGCTAAACCTATTATCTATATAGCATTTGGAGGTGGGAAATAGGAGTTTTCTTATACAGACAGCCCTGGTGGGGGAGGGTGTGTGGGTAGTGCCCCCTAATTACCTGTGACTCCCTCCTCTGTTACAGCCCCCCATGGGTGAAGAGGGCAACCACAAGCGACACCCAGTGGTAGCAGGAGGTGGTGGCGGTGAGGGCAGGAAGCGGTGCCCCTCCCAGTCTTCCAGCAGGCCCGCTACCGTGATCAGCCAACCCCCCACACCACCCGCCGGCCAGCCCACACGGGAAGATGCCAAATGGACAAGCCAGCACTCAGACACACAGACTTTGGGAAAGTGATGAAAAACCCCTTAGCCCTGAGGGTTTGGAGGGAAGGAGGGTGGGCAAGAGTCCATGGGGGCGCCCAGTCCCAGGAGAGGGGACAGAGAAGGGACAGGCCTAGAGTCATTAGGATGGGCCTTTGTGCTGAGTAGCAGTGTGTATACCTTTTGGGCTATCAGAGGTACCCCTGGGCAGGAGCCTCCACGTATCCCCTTCCTCCTCTCTCCATGACTCTTCTTCACATCCTGTCTTCTTCTAAGGGGGGAGGGAACGGGGGGAGATTTTATATATATATATATATATATATATACATATACATATATATATCAAGTTTTAAATTATTGATAGTTCATTTGGATTACCAAAATTACTCTGTAGCCCTGCCCACGGCTGATAGGCCACAACCCTGGTCCCTACCCCACAGCCTCCTGCTCCCCCTCAAGCCAACTATGCAGCCCACAAGAAGGACCTGTGGGCCCCATTGCCCAGCACTGTCCCGTGGAAGGCTCTGCAGCACCCCTGGGCCCCACGAGCACCGGCCCTTGTCACCTGGGCCTTGCTATCACCATGTTCTCCCTGCTGTCCCTACCATGCCCTTCTGCCATCTTCTGGGAGAAGGAAACCAAAGGATCTAAAAGGAGGTGGAGGGAGGTTTTGGCCTCTTCCCTCTCTCCACGCCCCCTGCTCCCAGCCCAGAGAGACGCTGCTCATACCAGAAAAAAGACTATTGAAAGATGATTTATTTTATTTTTCTCTGACCTTTCCATCCTTGGGGAAGAAGGAAAAAAAAAAAAAAAAAAAAAAA